CGTCCTGTAAAAATGACTGCAAGAGCACAGTGCAGAATGCTTCATGAGGTAAAGAAGAAACCTAGAGTGTCAGCTAAAGACCTATAGAAATCTCTGGCACATGCTAACATTTTTGTTGACACATTTACAATAAGGAAAACATTAAACAAGAATAGAGTACATGGGAGGACACCACGGAGGAAGTCATTGCTGTCCCAAAAAAATATTGCAGCACGTTTGAAGTTTGCAAAAGAGCACCTGGATGTTCCACAGCACTCCTGGCAAAGTATACTGTGGACAGATGAAACCAAAATTGAGTTGTTTAGGAAAAACACACAATACTATGTGTGGAGAAAAAAAGGCACAGCACACCAACATCAAAACCTCATCTCCACTGTAAAACATGGCGGAGGGAGCACCATGGTTTGGGGCTGCTTTGCTGCCTCAGGGCCTGGACGGATTGTTGTCATTGATGGGAAAATGAATTCCAGAGTTTATCAAGACATTTTGCAGGAAAACATACGACCATCTGTCTGCCAACTGAAGCTCCGCAGGGGATGGGTGATGCAACAGGACAATGACCCAAAGCATACAAGTAAGTCAACACAAAAATGGCTTCAACAGCACAGAATACGCCCTCTGGAGTGGCCCAGTCAGAGTCCTGAGCTCAACCCAATTGAAATGTTGTGGCATGACCTTAAGAGAGCAATTCACACCAGACATCCCAAGAACATTGCTACACTGAAACAGTTTTGTGAAGAGGAGTGGTCCACAATTACTCCAGATCATTTCGCAAGTCTGATCTGCAACTACAAGAAACATTTGGTTGAGGTTATTGCTGCCAAAGGAGGGTCAACCAGTTATTAAAACCAAGGGTTCACATACTTTTCCTCCCTGCACTGTGAATGTTTACGTGTTCTGTGCAATTAAACCATGGCAACATCTAATGTTTGTGTAGTATTATTTTCAGCAGACTGTGTTTTTCTATTGTTGTGACTTAGATGAAGTTCAGAGAACATTTTATGACCAATTCATGCAAAACTCCACATAATCCCAAGGGGTTCACATACTTTTTCTTGCAACTGTATGCATGAAAAGTCATGTCTTTTCAAATATTAAAAAAGAATTAAGAGTTAACTAACTTAAGTTAGTTAGTTCTTTTTTCATTCACTAGAGAATGCACATGAATGATTTGTGCAACACATGTGTTTATTTATGGAATTCAACAAAACAAAAATTCAACAATACAACAAAAAAATAGAAGCTTAGAAACAAAGACATTGATGCCACCCAAAAAATAAGGTCTGGAAAAAAAGCCAAGAATAGTTTAAAAGACTCACAAAAGAGGTCCATCTGGAGAGAGATGGCTTATTTATAAAGGCCCAGGTTGGGAGCCATACCCATTTGAGAAAACACTATTCCAGAGAGCAGCTACCATAAATTCCACTTTCTGGGTCCCATCAGGTGGCATTTTTTTAATCTATGGAACCTAGAACATGATGATGCTATTAGAACGTTTGGGATGACCAAGGTAATCCCTTAAATAGTTATAATAGCTCATTCTTCTGCATTCTGCATCCTGGACAAAGTGCAGCTTGAAGTTGTCTTCAAGAATAATATTAAATATTTGGCTTCTTCAAGCGGTTTTATTACAGACAAGAAGCCTGTGATAAGTATTTTTCCTTGACTTCACTTATTTTATGCCTTCACATCTTCATGCTGCATGTCCCCTCCCAATAACACTGACTGCTGCTGATAAACAAAGTGTGATGAAGAAAGATAGGAAAGGATAAATGTTTAAAGGCCATTTTTTGCCATTAGAAATTAAAATGAACGAGGGAGCAAATGTTGTAAAAAATAGTTTTGTTTCTTTGTGTAAGTTTTTCATCTGGGAATTATCACATTCATAGAATAGTCATCCAACAAATGTTATAGAAATTCCCAAGAAAAATAAATGTATCACTAATGGGATGATAAAATATCCGTATGGAGTGTGGAATAGGTTTCCTGGCTGGCTTAAGCAAGTTGTTTATATTGCTGGAGGGCAATGCATGCAGATGCTACTCTGAATGCCATCTGGATGCTATTTTCGAAGATACAGGAAAAGAAAAACAAGGTAAACTTAAAATATGACAAGGGAGTACAAGCAGTCAAACACAAATGAGATACCTGTGATAGAGATCACCTAGTGACATTCAGTGAAAATATATAATAATATAGGATGAAAAGAAGCTTAGCTGCTTTCTGACTGGTTAACAAAGGTCTGCTTTCTCTCTATTAAAATGCTGCTGTTGTTTTAAAAAGTGGCCTTGTGCTACACTGTGTATTGAACCATAAATAATAAACAACTTACCTTTAGAATTCATGTACTGCTATTTACGACATTATGGCTCTCTTAATAAAACTGTACTACTCTTAAACCATTTGACTGGTATCAGCCATAACTGGTTCAAAGATGAATCCATCTTTGCCATAGAGATAAGAAACCTATGGCATTTGTGAGGATGATACATTGCAATTCATAACATCTTTCATCCTTGGTTATGTTGACTCAGTTGATGAGACCTATGGTTCAACTACATTAGAAAGGTTGCATATTCCTCACTTGTTCTATAATGCATTTTTGTTTTTAAATGCGTGGAAATGTGTTTGAATGTGCAGTTAATAGTACTCTATTACCAAAGAAAATCTAGATTGACAGAAGTCTTTCAGAGGACCTATACCCATTAAAATCAAAATTAGTGTGTCTTGAGTCCGAATATATTCATTTGCAGACAGAGGTAACCTTCTCTTTGTAGGAATATATGATTAATCAACTGCAGGCAAAATTGAATCAGGAAAACGGGGAATGGATAGATCTTAATATAGCACTGCGAGTCATTTGAAAGCCTTCATAAAATTGTAAACAGATAATTTGGACATGTTGATGGGAAGATTAGGTTTTATTGTTTCTTGACTGACAGACCTAGTGAAAGGTATTTGTGCTTTGCCTCCTGTTGCTAAAATCCAATGACAAGCAAAACCTGACGTGTGTATAATAGGAAGGCTTTAGGGAAAATATGAGAAACAGCTCATTAAGAAGCTTGTACTTCAGCAAGTTTTAATTTCACATGGTAGAATTGCAATATTCAGAAGATTTGCAAAATATTGAAAGATGTCATTTGGTGAAACCTACTTTATTTTGTTTGCTCACATGTATTTGAAGAGTGGGAAGTTTTATCTAAGCATCATTCCTTGATCTGGTGCCCTTCATATATCTTGGGCATCAAGTCCCAGATTTTGGCTGGGAATTTTGAAAAATGAAGTTCACATATCTGGATGCCAGCAGTTGGGGAAAATTTGGGTTGAAGGTGAGGGTCAAAAGTTTAAGGAAGACTGACCATAAACACAACAGGAAAATTTTCAGGAACAGCTTAAAGTTTCCTAATCCAGAGCCAGTATAGACAACATATCCATTTTCTAGTATACAAATGTTTGCAGTTGTTAAATTCATTTCACAGCACATTAATTTTGACATTCAGCAACAAAATAGGAAAATAGTTTTGCCAATGCCAACTTTCCTCAAAATGAAAACAAATACTATCTTAAATCAGCTGCAATATTGTAAGGTACAATGTATTAAAAGGAGGGAACAAGGAAACAAATTTCTACTGATTAAGTTATTCAGGTAAAGTTATTTAGATATCCATAGGGACAAAAAGATCTACTATTTAAGTAAGTATCTTTGGATATGTAAATGAGACAGAAGTATACTGGATAATCTGGACACAAATTGAATTTTAAAGAATTATCTAATAGAGAAAAAATAGCAAAAAATGAATACAAATAAACCTGTTTGCATTGTGTGTAATTAGTGCATGCTTCATTTTCCTTCCTTTTCTTAATAATTTGTGGAGAAAATATCAATGATTTGAGCTGTGTGATTTTCTCTTATAATCTTTCTTTTAAAATATATTTCTTAATTTCTGACAATATTGAACATTTATTAAGCTCAGAACATACTAAACTAGATCTACATTAGGCATAATGAAATCAATTGAACAAACGGACTAACTCATCCCATTAATTTCAATGCATCTACTAGAAAAAAATGGTACATCTACAGGACACTGCAGCAATGTTACTATGTAGATGATGGTCTTACGTGTTTCTATCTCATTGTCTGATACCAGTATGAAACTCAAGGTAGTTGCATGATGATGTCATCATCCACATTTTATCATTTGTCTCTCATATTCTATGCAACAGGATTTAGAATGAATTTTAATAACAGTTAAGTGTTTATATAAGACTGTATTCTAAGGGCAAGTCTATCTCTGTCCCCTACTCTTTCTCCTTCTATTACTAATTTGTTTAAAAGTAACTACTAGTAACCTAATTGGGTGTAGGACAAAACACAAGGAGGATATGCTTATACACTCTTCGTCTTCTTCCTTTATGTACTGAAGAGAAAAAAGATACTCCACCAACAGAAATATGTTTAATGTTTCCTCCCCAAGAGGAAACAGATTTTTTTAAAAAACTTTAAAGGGGACTATGCCTTCTTCTTTCTTTGGATAGGGCCCTTCTAGACTGGGGCCCCACTGCATAGTATCCTTCATTGTGTGTCATTTTAAACTACATCTGGATCAAACTGAATATTTATTACACCGTACATCTACATCTGAATAATTTCTAAATAATTTCTCAGCTTTGGGAAGGCAGATTCATAAAAAAATGATGAGATCATATGATTCGTCCACATCCTTTATTCCTCGATCCATTCCTCGTTCCAATTTTATTTAAAAAAGTATATGCAACAATAGTCTCCCTGTCCTGCTCATCCAAAAACGTAAGATGAATATAAATCAGTTGTTGGGATGGATATTCTTCTGTACACTTAAAGTAAATATAGCTTATATAAATAAGGAAGTGCTGCAGAGGTATTTTAAGCCTCACTGTGATAATTGTGCTAGAGTAATTTTTGAAAATTTAAAATTTTGGGAAAAAAGGGTTCATCTGTAAATATATTATATACTTACACTTACAGGTTGGCTTTTTGGCACGTCATAAACACCTTCTTTCTTTTGGCTAGTAGGAACCTGTGGAAAGAAAAATGTAATTAGGATCAACATGACAAGTACTTGAAGCTCTTACTGGAAGTTTAATGGATGATATACAGTATATGACTCTGTCATCTGAAACAGACACATTTTTATCATAAATTAGATGAAAGTCCTCTTTCCATAGTTCTTGGAATTCCACATCTTTATACTAGCCTCCATCTTATATTATCATGGATAGATGTCTTGAGTTTACTATCTAATACTCTAGGTTTAAATTTAAAAAAGGACTCATTCACAACAAATCTGTAAGTTTATACAAAAGTAGAATTAGTATCCTGTAATATTGTACTATTTCTTATATTATATTTTTTCCATGTAGAGTTTGTGCATCTAGTCCCAATCCATATTTGTTACTTTAATTTATTATTTGGGAAGAGAAAGGATTTGAGCAATATGTGAAGCTTCTAATTGTAGGTACCAATGACTGTCCAATTAGTACTTTGTAGAAGAGATCTGAGTCTTTTATTTTGTTCACATCTGCTCTGTACTCATTAGAAATGGTTTTTCTTCCCCATTTGAGGATGAATAATTAAAGAACTTTGGTGGAATCAATAAAAGATATGTTTTTGAAACTTGTGCATTTTCTTGATGTCCTTCCAATGAATCCTTATTCCAGTTGGTTCCAATCGCTCTTTTCATTTGTATGCATTTGTAGCCTAATACTTTCTAGAAATTAAGTTTCATTTATTGGTGCTACTGTTTAGTTTCTTTAATATCTTGTTAGACTTTATTTGTACTGGCAGCATTACATTTCTCTCATGTCACTTTTTCTGAAATAATTAGATTATGTTTCATATTTAATCAAGTTCCATGTAATCTTTTTTTATTACTTAGCAGGTATGTTATTTATTTGAATATATAATCCAATAAAGGTTTAACTATCCGATGTGGAGACTTTTTATTTAGTGTTATGAGTACATATCATGTTATTGTATGAGAGGATTTTATATTACTTTATGCCTATACTATAATGCAGACAGTATATACCACTATAATAATCTGGTGCGATACATCTTCTAAATTACGAGAAAAAAATTGTATACAACATTAAGAGAGGAAAATAATCAAGACATTCTTAACTTGAGAACTGGAAAATGTTATTATCTATTGGTAATAGCAAAAAAGTCAAATATAAGAATATACGGAAATTTTCACCTAGCCATTAAAAAGATGCAGAAGATCTCATTTTAAACATTTGCATTTCAAATACTTTCCTTATTTCTATTGTCCATTTCATCAAAATGTCTCAGATTCTAATTTTACAGATTACAGATGCTTTAGAATTATAATATCTACTGGACACAGTAGCCCAATGGAAGTGCCAGCTTTGGCTTATACTGTTCAAGAACAAAGTTATTATACGCTATTTGTATTATCAGTTTATAAATAATAAGTAAGTTCTTTTCAGATTGTTTGAAAGCAGAAAGGAAATTCCTTATTGGACTGTCAACATTTTATAACACTCACAGCATTGACAGCCACTTTGTCATGGAAGACTGGATCGTAAGTGATGTGGTACATTTCTACTTTGCCTTTTTAAGACGAGGTATTTTTGACTTACTTATGACTATATTTAGTAATTTTGCTCTCTATCTTTTGAGTTGCTTACAAAATGAAAAGATTTTTTTTTCTATCGAGATTTTTATCTCAATTCTAAAGGCATTCATTCGCATACATTTAATTGGGTGCTTAACTAAAGGAAAGGAAAATTAGCTATAAGTGACCAAATGGGGTAGTTTTATAAATTGAGCTTCTTTTTAGGCCAAGTAAATGTTGTAAATTTACTGGTATTTTATCAACGCATAAGATAATTATAAAATAAAAATATTATGTAAAAATGAATAAAAATTATCACAGAAATGGAAAATAAAATGCCAAAAAATATCCACAGCATTTAAAATTTAGTCAGTTCTACAATTGCACTTTCTACAACTTGCCTAGGATGTATTAATTACTGCTAGCTTTAACTTGACATAATGCAGTAAAAACTCATGATTACAGACTTGCTTATTCCTACAACCATACACATTTTATACTAATAATGCAAAGTGACTCAGTGACTCAAAGTGACTTTGTTAAATTGGCTAATATCTATTCTTATGTCCCCAATCATAAAAACATGAGACAAAGAGAAAACTCTTTATTTAAAACTGACTATATGGATAAATTCTAACACTTTTAAATAATAATAATAATAATCTCTCTAGAAAAAGATTCCTGGAGATTATTACCTTGATACTATAGAAAGGAAAGGTAATTTTAGGGACCAAGAGAATGATCCTAGTAGGAATGATAGTTCCTGGTAGGACTATCTTTGCTGGTAAGTTCAAAAGGGGAAAAGTGATGTTAATGTTAGGCTTTTTACATCAACGATAATTCACAACAGGTTCTGAAGCCAGAAGGGGCTCTGCAAGTATGTAGGAAATTGAGCCATGGAGACTGTACCTACATCAAAAATTTGTAAAGCAATGGAAATCTACTTCTACATTGTTATCAAAAGAACCATGTTGAGCTGAAACATTTAGAGAAGCTGACATTAGAGGATGAGACACTTGAGGTTAGACATTACTCCTCTAGTTATTGGGGAAGAATTCTGACATTCTATGCACAGATTAAGACTTCAAATAAAGTTGACAATCGAGAGTGCCAATGTTGTGGGGGGGGGGAGGAATCTCATTTTATAAGGGTACGTGCAGTTTGAACCAGAAATGTAAGAACCATGAACCAAGAACAATTGAAATGAAACCTATTACATTAAAAGCAAATGAGTGAATTTATGTTAAATAGAATGGGTTATTCAAATCAGATGATTACATACTAAATTTCAAGGGTGCTATTATAATGTTAGCAACATATAGTACTGCTAATGAGTGATAGAATTTAAACATTGGTAAGTAGAGGCACTAGAAATTATAGATGGCATATGAAAGAAATATGTTGTAGGAAATGAAAAGAAGAAGATAGGCTATACAGTAGTTTTGCAAAAAGGGCATTTCCAACCTTAGTTTTAGGAGCATAAACTGAGAGTCTACATACAATCAGAAATTAATTGACCACATAATATAAAAAAAAGAAGATGGAAAAATGCAATCCATAAGCCAAAATCCATTCAAGCAGAAATTGTGGAATAGACTACAGATTTGTAAAATATAGATTGAAGGACAAGAATGTAAGATCAATTTAAAAAACAGTACAATGAATTTATTTTATTTATCAAATTTAGAGGGCCCCCATCTCACTCTCAGAACAACTTTTGGCAGGCTGGTGTAATGGGGGCAAGAAGGTTTCGCAGATAACTTGGCCCCATGCCATCTAGGACTTTAAATGTCAGAACCAACACTTTAAATTAGATGAGGAAGCAGATCAGCACCCAATGAAGATCACTTCACTTTTTACAATGAAGAATGAAATAATTGAATTTGGAGAAATAGTGGTTCAAGGAAAGATAAAAGGATGACAAGGGGTGTATAGTGCTATCAATGGTTTCTCTTGAGCAGCAAATACATTATAGAATTAGAAGGATTAGAAGAGGTGTCAGATGGAATAAAAATTGAGAAGTGGAACTGCTAACAATCTCAGATATTACTTGTTAGGTTAGAGTTTATTTTGAAAATAAAAAATCTGGGTGAATGTTAAATTTTAAAAAAGCCAAGATTATGCCAGCATATACATTTAGTGAACCTAGGATTGATAATGAAGCAAAGGTAATAGATAGTTTGATTTCATAAATAAAGTAAGAAAATATTCTGAGCATGTAAAGATTTATTCTAGGAAGGAAAGCAATGACTATACCTAAACAGTATCATGAAGAATGTTAATATTTTCATGATTGTCAAGGTGAGAATACTTAAAACAATGGTGTTTTTACTAGAAATAGATATGGTGGTGAAAGCTAGACACTGACAAAGAGACAAAAATCTATTTCAAATAATGGATTTGGAGGCTATTCCTAAGAGTATAAAGGTTGTGATTGATCAATTGATCAAGGCCAAATAAAGGCAGATTACTTCTGTGAGGTGATAACTGGTGAATAGAAATTCATAAATTTCAAATAAGATGCAAAGGAATTATGAACTAGAAAAAACTATTATGGATAGCAATGATGTGGGAAACAGAGAAAGAATCAGGTAAAACTGGATGAACACAATAAAAGAAATTATTATCAGTCTTTGAATGAGTATTGAGAAACTGGTTCCTCCCCAAACTTTGGACTAAGGTGGTTGCCAGGTTCCTTTAGGTGGGTGTTGTACGAGAAAGAGAAAGGTTTCTAAGCCACTTTAGAAACATTTCATTAACACATATAAACAAATAAATGAAATCATAACAAATGTTACTACATAACTGGTAAACACTCAAATATAAAAAGGCAATAGTAATTATTGTAGCAAAGGAAAGGTATTATACAAATAAACTTCAATCATACTTCTTATGATTAAAAAAATCTGTTACTGGTAGTATTAAATAGGGCTTCCAAAATGATAATTGTAGCCAGAATTCAGAAATAGAATTTTGTACTCGTTCTTAATTCTGTTAAAAGAACATACTGCAACTCTAAATCTGGTTAAGTCAAAATAATTTTAGGTAATTATGGATATAAAGTGGATTCCAACAACCATGGGTCAATTTGGCACCTCTCTCTCTCTCTCTCTCTCTCTCTCCCTCCCTCCCTCTCTCTTCTGAAGTAAAAAGACATCCTAAATGAAACAAATAGTCCTCAACTTACAACCATTCATTTAGTGACTGGTTGATGTTACAACAGCCCTGAAAAAGTAACTTATGAAAAAGTTGCCTTTTTCACCCTTATGACCATTGCAGCTTCTACATGGCCACATGATCAAAATCTGAACACTTGGCAACTGGCTCATATTTATGACAGTTGAAATGTTCTGGGGTGGGGGGGTGCCACATGATCACCTTTTGTGACTTCTGACAAGCAAAGTCAATGGGAAAGCCACATTCACTTTATAACCGTGGTACTAACTTAATAACTGCAATGATTCATTTAACAACTGTGGCAAGAAAGATAATAAAATGGGACAAAACTCACTTAACAACTGTCTCCCTCAGCAACAGAAATATTGGGTCAATTGAGGTCATAGGTCGAGGACTACCTGCACTCTACAAACTAAATCCAAAACCTGTACAAGTATGAAACTGTATCTATGACTTTAGGAAAAATAAATGAGCTTAAAAGGAATTTTACATATTTTACTTTACAAAATATGCTTGATGATTACGGGAAGGAACAAGAACACAAACGTACAAATTTTATACCTGATAAATGTTTTCTTCTGTTTCAGGCTCACGAATTGGCTCATGTCCAGCCTCAAACACAATGTACTATTACATCAGCAGCAAAAGAAGAAAGGTCAGAGGTGAAAAAGAAAGGAGAAAAAGGCAGTTTTGAACTTTAGAAGAAATAATCATCAGCAGTAAAGGAACAGGTTGACAAAAGATGAACTTTCTTTTTTTCTAAAAAAGACTCCCCAAAAATGTGCCTTTCTTTTACAGAACAGAAATAAAGGAGATGTGAAACTTCTAATTGTCATTGAAGAAATTTCCTGCTGTTTCCTCAACAGAGTTATGAACAGAGTTCAACTTTGTTTCCAAAGGAGCTTATGTATTCCTTATAGTACTTTTAATCTTATTTAAGAAAAGCAGGGAACATGGACTTCAGCAATGAGTTTATTTTAAGTGCCTGGTTTCTATACTGATTCCGAAGATGTTCTATGAGAATAACATCACAGAGAACTATATCAATATTGATACTAATTCTAATTAATATAATCAGCTACATATTTTTTTCCATTTTCTTGGAAAGACAATTTTCCTATACTGTATTTTAAAAACCATTTCTTTCTTCTTACATATTTCTATAGCTTTTTTTTTTAAATGATCCATAGACATAGCACTCACTGAATGCAAAGCCATAATGGAAGATTTTACACATCAGGTTAAACCTAACACATACATACTTCCCAAACCAACATTATAACTGAGCATTGCAAGTCAGATGACTGATTCCTAGGGCCTAAATTAAACTAGCAAAATTTTAATTTATACCAAGAATTGGTACAAAATGTTCTGAAAAATAAATAAATAAATAGAGTGAGGAGGACAATCTTAGAACTGGCAGAGGGGAAAATCTCTTGTATAGTTTTCCATATTTCCTAGAATTTTCCCACAATTAGTTTTTAAAACATCCCCTTTGGATGATGGATGAGGCATTGGCTGTAAAAGTTGGAACTAAGATACCTACCTTGAAACACCTATCTTATTTCCCATTGCCACAACTATTTATCTTCTACTATTATAATGAAATATTAGTCTAGAGACTTTGCATTTCTTTCTCTACAAGATATGGACATCCTATTTCACAGGTAGAAATTTAGTATGCCTTTTGGAGAAGCATTAATTTCTTATTTTTTTTCCTAATTAAGCAATGTGTTTATTTCTTCATTAATCTTTAGCATGAGCAGATTTATTATTTCAATAACAATACTAGATTATGAATACAGGGAGACTCTTACCAGCTCTGAGAATGACAGCACACCTGCTTGGCAACTTTTTTTTCTCAAATGACCTCCCAATTAAATAAAATTAATTTAGAATGACTCATCTTTCAACTTACATCTTATTTACTTTAAAATATTTAATTAGAACTGTCCTTCTCTTAAAAGGACAACCTCAAAGCACATGCGTAAATATAAATAACCCTGTCAAAAATGAGTTAGTTTTTGAAATTACCTCTCAATTATTATTGCTAGACATTGTTTTTATATTTTAGTATTAGCAACATTGTTTCCTTTATTTTCTATTTTTAATGTTTTGTTGCTTTAAAAAAAACTAAAATACTAGTTTGAAAACATTTTTAAATAATTTTCAGTCTTATCCTTGATACCTTATTGATCTGTTTTTGAAATGCTGAAGTTTTGTTTTACATTTTTCTATTATTTTATAGATAAAACCATGTCCCTGATTCTGAAACTTCACAAAAAATGGCTTCAAAAATTACCTGATAAACAGGATCCTCTACATCTTCTTCCAAAATTGTCTATCACAAAGAAAGTCAAAGATAAAGACAAAAAAGGGAGAGAATATGAACAGCAGATGCCTAAGAGCCATATTCATGATTTAAAGCATAAGGGAACTGCATAATATATAGATGTAAAATAGAAATTCTCATTTGCATGAATCTTCTTAGCCCACAGTGTATAAAATTATGTATGAAATAACACCAGAAAAAGTATCACACAATTACTCCAAAGATCTCCAAGTTTATATATAATATGTTTATTGCCAAGTCAACAAGTTCACATGATTAAGTTTTTCACTAGAGCTAAGTTGATTTTAATCACTGTCAAACATCATTGTATCAACACCAACAGTACCATCTTCAAATACAGAAATTGATCTTGTAATAAACTGGTTTTTAGTGTTTTGAATCACAAGTTCTGTACCAAAAAAGCACCAAATCAAACACATATTATTTTTTTGCACTTGCCTACCAAAAATTATTGAAATACCTGATATACTGCTTGTTCACATTGTTTATCTTTTTGTGCCTTCTTTTCCAGTTCTTCTCTTTGTTTCAACTCATAAATAAGTTGGAAGAGGTCTCGCAAATCCAAAATCACAGGTTCTGCCTACACACGATACAGAAATAACGAATGAATGTCTATGTACGAATGGAATATATATACAAAAGGTCTAGCTAATAAAACAGCATTTCTGATAAGACAGATGTTAATGACAAATATCAAACCATTTAGTCTGTTGCAAGTGCATTTAAACCAAAGGAATTAATATTGTTTGGCAGAGTTGTTCATTACAGGTGGCCCTCATTCAGTGACTGTTTCAACTTTCAACTGTGCTGAACGTGAGAGTTCTGGCTGTTGGAGCATTTCTGTGGTCATGTGATCATGATTTGTGACTTTCCTTGCCAGCTTCCCACAAACAAAGTTAGGGGAAGCTGACATGAAATCACAATCACATGAGGTTCTTGCTCAACAGCCTGCAATAACTGAGAGTCTGCTGGAACAGCCATTATTAAACAGCAGAGTCATGTAACATTGCCACTTCACTTAGCAACAAAAATTCTGGTCTCAATTATCATAATTAAATGAGGATTCCCTGACAACAATTTACAATGGAATATATAATGGAGATAAATTTTGAAATAATTTCATTCACTAATGGAATTTGTTTAATTATATTAGATATTGAGCACCATTTTGATCAGTATTGGGTCTTTTTTCTTAGCTTGGCCTGTTGTGTACATGTACTCACAAATTACTGTAAAACTGAGCAGTTCTATGTGCACATTTACAAAACTACTTTCCTGTTAGTTCCTTATTCTCAGCCACATTTTCATTTCTGGCACTAAGGCAATGTAACTTACAAAGAAAAATTCAGTGCAAAAAACTGTTCTGTTACTCCATGAATTGCATAATCAAACCAGCTAACAGGTTTTTATAACTGAATATATTTTATTATTAATTAGTAGTCTATCATTTGTCAGACACTAAGTGGCTTACAGAATTAAAATGTTAAAACACCATATAGCAAAACATAAAATTAAAAGTACAAATAGTCCCAGACTTACATTCGTTTAGTGACCATTCAAAGTTACAACAGCACTGAAAAAACGTGATTTACTGTAAAACCAGTTTTCACAATTGTTGCAGCATCCCTATGGTCATGAATACCTGATAACTGGCATGCATTTATGGCAGTTGCACTGTCCCAGGTCATGTGATCACCATTTTAACCTTTCCATCTGGCTTCCAACAATCAAAATCAATAGGGGAAATCAGATTTGCTTAGCAATTGCAGTGATTCACTTAACATTTGTGGCAAAAAGGTTGTAAAGTGAGGAAAAGCCCACTTAAAAACTGCCTTGCTTAGCAACAGAAATTTTGGGCCCAGTTGTGGTCATAAGTCAAGAAAATTGTGGGCATAAGTCAAGGAATACCTGCATATTGGTTGCTATTCCCCAGTTAAAACTCTCTTTATTCTTCTTTTCTGAATTAGCTCCATTAGAAGAAGCTTTGAATCTAAAAAATATTCAATATTATATTTCAGCACTTTCAGAGTAATTGAACTAAAACAATAGATGGAAAATCCATAGAAAAATATTATTCTCCTTGAAGGTTTTTATACCAACAGGAAATTTGTCTCATTGATATTCTGTCTGGATTTGGTTCAGCTCTCACAGCCACTAGGCACTGGGGCAAAGACTTCTATTGCCATCCCTTGCTTGGCCTGGGATACATATATAGAGTTGGATCTCATCAGCATACTGGTGACAACTAACTCTAAATTGATGGATGATCTCCCAGAGCAGCTTTTGTTGATGTGAAACAACTCTGGAAAATAAGCTGAGCTGTGAGGGACCCCAGATTGAAGGATGCAAGGCTTCAACCTTTCTTCCCTCCAAAGCACTAATAGAAGCGGTTAGCTTAGGAAAGAGCAAAACCAATGTAGACTAGTATCTATGACCCACATATGGCCCAAACGATATCATAATCAATAGTATAAAATGCTGCTGGTACATGGAGGGATACATTCCAAGCAAACGTGACCCTGAATTCCAATTGGAAGGAATTCAAATAATCTGAGAGGTTTTTAGGACCTCTGAAATTGGAGCCAAACCACCTTCTCATCAACTTTTCCTAAAAATAATAGGTTGTAGACCAATCATCAATGTTCCATCTTCTGTATGCATGTAAATCCTTACTAGGACTTCATATAAAATTTCTTTGTGGTGCCTCTGTTTTCCTAGAGATATTTCAGTGCAAGGACCACATTTTGAAAGTCCATTATGGATAGTGCTGTGTAGTGAAGAAAATGCAACTAAAACCAAAATAAAATTCATTTAATGCAATAATACATTAATTCCCAGGTAAATTTTTTCTCTTGATGAAAATCTCAAACATGATGCAATTCAAAAATGAGTAACCCAACTCATCTCAAGCTTAAATTTCTTATTAATGCTTTACTGGTGACTCTATTTAATAGTTCATGCTATTTAAGCATAAATGTAATTTATTATAACTTTAAAATGAATTTTAAATTCAAAATTGTAAGATATAGAAATAACACTGGCAGATTACATATTATATGAGATTGAAACTATTGCATCTGAACTCATATCAGAAATCTCTTTAATGTGGGTGGGAGGGAGTCTCATCTATTCCTAGTGAATTAATTTGTACTTTATTTATACTGGTCAAGCTGCAAATTTTAACTGAAGATTCATTTTTATATACCATATATAAATTATACTTACAAAATAATGGTAATTAAAAGGAACAAAAAAGATGCTTTGAGTAGGCCCTGTAAAATAGCTATTTGTTTTCCACAATTTTCTATCTAAAAGAGTGAGGAGGGACTAAGTAAGCCGATTTGTATTCAGCTAGTGTGTACAGCTTAATTAGGAAGGAAAATAATTACTAATTAGAAAGAATACATCAAGAAAAAACTAGGAACGATGACTGTGCTCATTCCTTTCCATGACTGATATTGCTAAACTGTCATTTCAGAACATTTATGCAGGGGCTTATGACAGCATTATGTACTGCATAAAGAATGCTACTGTGGATGATAAAATGATGATAGAAATGAGAAATGATACTTGATACTTACTGCCTGGGCTGTTTTTATTGCCACAAATCTATGATTCCCTTCCTTTCCACATACGTATCCAAAGGCCCGATGGTCTGTGATATCCTTTGCGATGTATGAAATTTCATGTACTGCATGATGGTGTTGTAGTAGCTGTTCATAAACAAAGCACAGGAAGAGCATTTTTAACAGAAGCTCAGGGTTTGATTGAAAGCACTCAATCCATTTTTATGAGGATAAATCAGAAAAAAAACAATCCCACAATGAAAAGCTTGTGGTTTGATCGAGTCATGTGATTTATATTTATATGGATAAATGTGTAAAACAGCAGTATCACAATGAAAAGCAATGCTTCAAGCACATTTTCTTCAAGACTACATCTGGACGTTTTGATCATGTTTATAATCATTTCATGCTCTAGGTGCTTTAGGTGTTTCATCTAGTGTTCTGTTTTCAGTTAGATGAATCTTCCTCATCTGTTATCACACTCTCTTGTGATATTGTGTCAAACTTCAGATCTTTCAATGACAGGTTGCTTTTCTTGTGATTATGAAGAAAGCTTGAATTGCTACAATTCCTTTATCATTATTCTTCAGTATCTTTCAAATGGCCTTTGTGACAAACCAAGCTTATGGATGAACATGTGTGGATATCCTGAAGTAGCATTAGCACTGAAATTAATATTGCTACTGTTTAAATAAGATTAAGTAAGATTTAAAGGCCAACTGGCAATTTGTTCTTTCTTTCTAGAATTCCTGGACTGGATGGTGTAAAAGTTGTTATAATAAATAAATAAATCATACAACTTTCATCATAGCTCCATTCTTCTCCCAATATCTTGTTTATTTGTGTGTGTGTGTGTGTGTACACGTATGTACATACATACACATACAAACATATACATATACATACACAAACACACACACACACACATATACATATACTCTTCTTTGGCTTATTGAATGATTCTGTTTTGGATATCTTGTTCCCTATTGCTCTGACAGTCCAATTTACACAATGTCCAATGCTAATAATTGCTACTCAAAAACAATCATGTTAGGTAACGAAGCTAAAAACCCTCTTGCCAATTTTATTTTATTTTTTCTTATTAAAAATTCTTATTGTTATTATAACTTATAAATTATAGTGATTAAGAAAATCTCATGTCAGTCAATGGTACTAGCAATATAGAGAAACAAAGAGAAATATTCTTTCTACTATATTTTAATTTCTCTTTTTAATTAGCACAGAAAAATGAATTTAAGTTTAGCAGAGTTTAAGATAATATTCTAAACTGACATTTAAAAGATGAATTTTCTTGACATTTATACTTGTCAATTTATGTCATAAAAATATATGAACTACATATTATGATTTGAATATACTGCAGAATATACTGTAATCTACAAGTAAGACACTGAACAAATATATATTATAGTTAGTCCTTGACTTACAATGACAATTGGAACCAGAATTTCTTTGCTAAGCGAGGCAGTTGTTAAGTAAGTCACACCCACTTTTATTGTCTTTTTTGCCATGGTTAAGTGAATTGTTGCAGTTATTAAGTGAATCACATGGTTGTTAAATGAATACAGCTTATCCTGTTCACTTTGTTTGTTAGAAGCCATATGTGAAGATCACAAAGGCAATCATATGACCCAGGGATGCGGCAGCCATTGTAAATACATTACATTTGCCAGTTGCCTGAATTTTGACCATTTGATTATGTCAAATGGTCTATGGATGCTGTGGCGCAGTGGTTAGGCTGCAGTACTGCAGGCCACTTCAGCTGACTCTTATCTGCAGTTCAGTGGTTCTAATCTCACCGGCTCAAGGTTGACTCAGCCTTCCATCCTTCCGAGGTGGGTGAAATGAGGACCCAGACTGTGGGGGCGATATGGTGACTCTGTAAACCGCTTAGAGAGGGCTGAAAGCCCTATGAAGCGGTATATAAGTCTAACTGCTATTGCTATTGATGGTTGTATGTATGAGGACTAGTTGTAAATCACTTTTTTCAGGGATGTTGTAACTTCAAAGAGTCACTAAACAAACAGGTTTAAGTTGAGTTTATATCTCTATATAAAATAATAGGAGAGGTGATCTGGTGTAGTGGCTAAGATGCCAGCCTAAAAACTGGGGGACCATTTATTCTGGTCAGTCCCTCCCTCTCATGCATAGGAAAAAGACAATTGTCAACCATTTCCCAAATCTTGCCAAGAAAACTGGAGGGACTAGTCCAGACTATTGCCATAAGTCAACATTTAGTTAAAGGTCAATTCAAACTAAGTTTAAAAGCAAAATCAGCAATAATACAAATGAACACACTGGCTGATCTTGAGAGTCAGTTGCTCAACAGAGTAAACACTCATAGAAAAACAGTGTTTTTATGCCTATCACTTTATGAAAGTAGAATATTAGCAACAGCTTCTCCCAGGGCAATTGATTTGGTTGATCCAGGTTGGAGAAGAAAATCTTGGCAATATTTAAGTCCCAAATCACGCTAGCCTTTTTATATTAAAAATAGTTGTTTGACTTTAGAAGGTAAGCCAGAGTCCACAGCACAAGTGTAATATGTGACAGCTAATAAGAGGCCATTGCATTTTAAATCTACTTCAGCTTCAGGTTGGTCTTAAAAGGAATCCCCTCTTATAATGTATCATCACAATTCAGGCTGGTGATGATTAGGATGCGACTTGTTGGCGTTACATCCAAGATCTCTGAAATCTATAAATACTATGAAAAATCATAGTATCATATTTGCTGCATTAGGGATGGTGCTTTCTCACTTATATTAAACCCCTGAGCAATTAAGAGAGAGAGAAAGGCACAATACATTAATGGCAGATCTGTCTTGCTTAGGGTCAACTTCAGAATTAACCAGAGATCTGAGTTTTACTATGCAATTTCTTTTTAAAGGGAATGTATGTATTCATCAATTGTATATAAAACCTCAAACTGATGCCTTGTTTTGGTTCAGCTTTAACAAAATATCTTATGATTTGCATCCAGAAAGTAAACAAAGTCCATATCTAAGGGATATAAAAAGCTGTGTGGATGGACAAATGACATTTCTACCAAACTGAAGTTAATGGGAAAACAATTCAATTAACAACAATCTGCAACAGTTGTTTTGGGTTACCCAAAGTGGATTGCTCAATTGTAAAGAGTTGGGTGCTAGTCCTGGTGCAAGTTTATTTTTCTATTTCTATAATGAATTTTCTATGCCATATTTTAACGCAGCAGTGTTCCCAAACTAGATTACAATATTAAACATGCAATTTAATTGTTGTTCTTATCAATGTAGAAGTCTAATCCTCACTAAAATAGATACTGGCTATTGCAATAAATATATAATTTAAATATTCTTATGTATAATTTATATAGATTTTCCATAGGAATCACCTTCTGTCAGTCATTTTGTTGGATTTCAAGAATGAGTAAGAGATATAAGCAGGAGACAGAAGGAGGTGGGGAGACACTGTGCAACATCCAAACTCCAGCCAAATTAGAGAAATGTCTATAATATTGACCCAAAGTTAAGCAGATAATCTATGTTGTCTAAATTATCATGAGATCAGCAGCTATAAAATCGTTTAAACAAAGAAGTGCTTTCCAACATACTGAATTCAGCAGGCACTCAAAACAGCATCCCCATTCCATATTCCTAGCTATGAGGAATATGGATTCCATACAGATTCAGTCTGTATGAATATTGGTTTAGCCAGAGGTTTGGATATGTTGGTGTCCTACATTAGGCTGTCAGATTCATATTTTTCTTTTGTTTCAAGAAATATTAAACAGTATGTAGGTTTCAGGGTTTTAAGCAAGCCAGAATACTTTGAAAAATAAGCAAATCAGAATTTATTAAGAACCGCAATCCTGAAATTCTAAAGCTCTACAGAAGAATTACAAACAGGCTATCTAGTGCATCTATTCTCTATTCTACAGCTTTATTTCTTTACAAGTCTAAGCAAGAAAAACAGACATAAGTTATTTTATTCCAGTACAAAGTAAACTTGATAAATAGTAACAGTAACTGTATAAAAGCTGGTGATGCCCTATCTTGCTTATTAGAGCTTTGCAAAAAGGACAGCTGACAATATTTTGGATGAATGCCACATAAACAATCAAAGAACCATAATTATTTAGACATTTGCACAATCATGGAACAAAATGGAACAAATACTCTGTTATCAGACCCCTTCTTGAATGAGTGTAAGACTAAAGACCTGAACTGATATTTCTAGGGTTCCAAAGTTTTTATTAATTATCCAGATCCTAAGCAAACAAAATAGCCACATTATTCACAAAAGCTTACTTATATCCTACTGATCATATATTATGACATATCTGCCAATAAATTTAGAAGAGTAAATTAATTTTGTTGGAAGGGGTAAGCATTCTTCATGAGAGCTACATATTCTCTAGTGTATTAATTATATTAGCTTATTTACATAATATAATTATATTGATTTATTAGATTTTCTTCTGCATTCCAGCTGTATGCCTTCCTTCTAATTGTAAAATTAGGTATCCCTTTCTTTATCCCAGGGTTCTGTTAAATCAATTTTTTTTGTCATTACCTTATTGATTGCCAAGCAGTATTTGCACAGACATTAAACTATGATCACATTCTTTATTTGTGGAATTGGACATAAAGTTTATTCTGCAATGGTAAAATATCTGTAATACAGGGACAGCAAATAGAAACTTTTTTATTTATTCAGGAAACCACATTAAGTCCTGGAAAGTCATTATATTTCCAATGGCTGATGCAAAAGTATTACCTTGTAACTTGTACCTGGCTATTAAGAAGCAGTAAAGAATTAGACTCAATTGAACAGAAGGGGAAAAAAACATGCGTACAGCTACTATCCTGTCAGTATTTATAGAGAATTTAAGTAAATGGCTGTCAAGAAATTCTTAGACTCTATTAAGCATGCTGTGTCCCAATACAGTAGGTATAGAATGAAGTATTTTATACTGGTTTAGAACATCCCTCTGTAAAAGGAAACATTTGTTTCTTTATCTATTTATTTATATTTGTCAAGCAAAAACGTGATCAAGAATAAGAGAATAAAAGTACAATGACAGGGACGATAGGCATCTTAGTGCACTTATGCTTGCCCACTCTACTTCTAATTAGTCACGAG